GCGGGAGTCCTCTCTCTCCCCCCACCTTCTCCTGCCCAGCCCAAACCCTCCCCATTTCCACGTCTGCATCGTGTCACACATCCTAATCATTCATGAAAAATCCAGCCAAAGCATCCCAAGCATGATTCCCTTCTGATAGTTGCCATGGTGACCTTGGGAAAGTAGCCAACCCGGAGACAGTCACCATGGAAACAGAGAAGCCCAAAAGCAATAATGACTTCAGGTCATGTCTGTGCAAAGACATCACGAGGTCGTCGGAGAGTAAACAAACTCATTCATATCTGCAAACAGGGGTGGCGGGATTGGGGGGGGTGCAAAGGTGGGGTGTGGGGACCAGTGGGAGCTGGGTGGGTGAAGGTGCTGGCTCAGCCTGTGCTGCTGTCACTTGAATTTTATCAGTCAAGGCACCTCATCATCACACGACTTACATAAAAATCAAGATGAAGAGCAGGAGGGGGAAAAATATAATCCTGTAATTGCAGAGCTGCAAGATACTATCCTAGATATTAGGGAGTGTATTTAGGCGCCTCCTCTATTTTTAAGCCTGAGACAGCACAGCTCTCCATGTCTGGAGGAGGGACAAGGACAGCCGCACAGCACACAAGCCAAGATGTTCCGTGATGAATGGACCACTTACAGCAACTGGTGTGTGCTGCATTTTCTAGAGCATCAGCGAGTCCTTCCCTGCTCTCCTCCAGCGCTGAGCCCCACCCCGGGCACACCTCCAGCCACAGCCCCTCGTCTCGCCAGGACAGCAGGAATGGGCAGGGCACGGGGCAGGGGGGCGACTGCCAGCCCCCCTCAGCTGCCTCCGTCGGACGGGGATGTGCCCAGCCTGTCTGCGCGCTCTCCAGAGCCCGATCTCCTGCGAGCACAGGCACCTCTCCAGCCCCCAGCACTGCCCTTCCACCGTCCGTCGCTTCCCCTCCACACCGGGCATTTGCTGCCCACCCCTACCTCCCGGCCGGAGCCGCAGACCACTGGCAGCCGGGGGGGAAGGAAAAAGCTCCTTGTCCTGGCCAAGAGGTCTCGGAGTTGAGGAGCGCAGAGGCGCTGCCAGCGCGTAGAGGAAAGGGCCGGCAGCCCCCTCCCTGCAGAGGCGCAGCCGGGCCGCAGGCAGTTGGTGCCATAGTTATGCAGTGAGTCACCAGCTGTTTACAGAGTTTGAGCGCTCACATTCCCACAGCATCAGAAACTCTTCCTTCCCTCGGCGGCATCCCCCCTCCCTCGCCGCCCCCATCCCTACAAGGGAAGGGGCGCACTGGCCACGGGCCGCGCTGCGAACGCCGGAAAAGGAAAGGCAAAAAGGAGGGGGAGGCCAACGACAGCCCCGTCACACCCACCGACTGCACAAAAAGCCTTTTGATCCTCACCCAGCGCGTCTTCAAAGCGTTTTGTGCGCCAGCCGATGGAAAAACTGAACGCGGCCACTTGGCCGCGCGGAGATGGAAAGAAATGTAAAGTATCATGGAAAACAAGAGCCGAGGGGTGAGGTTGCCTCCAGTGGGGGTCAGCGTGAGGGCTCACCTGCCACCCTGAGCAATGCTCCAGCTCTGAGTGATGAAACCCTGCTGGTCACCTGTTGCTCCATGTCACCAAAGCAACAGCTCCTTACCCTGCACATTCCTCAGAGGACAGCACAGGCGCTTGGCTCAGCGTCTTCTGCTGCACACCTGTCTCCCCCACACCAAAACACCCTGGATGGGCCAGCATCCCTCTGACATGGGCTGGGATCCACCCTACTGCACCAGGGGCCATGGCCAGAACTGCTGCTGACACAGATTAATGAGGAAGTTCAAGGCACCATCAGGAATTGTGATGCCAGACCCTCTTAAAATAAGGGTGGGAGACTGTGGGCTGGCCTGACCCAAAGGGCAAGATTTCATCGAGCAAGTAGAAACACTCAAACAGGCTCAAGTCTCACACTCATATCTGAGTGCAAGGGTGAGTCTTATCTCTGCACTAGGTGAAGGCACAGGTGTGGTCCCAGCTCCGCTCGAAACCGATACAACACTCGCAATCTTCACCAGCAGTCCTCCAGGGCCTTGGGCTTCATCTCATCTACCAAATCCTTCCCATCAGGATTATTTGGGACTATTCAGCTACCAGCAAGAAGACACTAAAAATCAGCATGTCATCTCCCTTACATTTGTTACTTACAAAGCAAAACCCCGCAATGAAATCATAAACCACTCTGCAAACAAGTCATACCCAGCAGCGTTCCCTAAACATGCTGCACAGGGGTCTTCTGGGACCCTGCCTGCGATTTGATTATTAGAACCCTTTTAGTCTTTACCCTGCTCCTGCCCTTCTTTCCTTAATTGCATTTGCTGCATCACATCTAAAATTAGGAGCTCAGCTTTTTGGAACAAGGACCGCGCTACATCTCTGCTCTGTAAGCAGTACAACACATTCCGAATGCCACATCAATAAAGCAGCAAGTAGTATTACACCAACTGTGAAGGGAAAAAGCTTTTCCAGAGCTGCTCCACGCTCGTATTTACAGCAAGTGTTTTGACTGTGGGTTACATAAAGAGCCCTTGTAATTCTGCAATAAAGTTACCCATTGACAGCCTTGCCAACGCCCTCTCCCTCTCTCAGACAGCTCCTATGCCTCCTGCAGCATCCTCCCAAAAACCTGGAAGTCTCCAGCTGACATCCTAAGTCTGACAGTCTCAGAGCATCTAGAGATCCCAGTTCCTTTGCTTTGAAAGGGAAAGGCAGCAGAAAGCCTGACTCAGGCAGAGGTAGGACAGAGCTTTCCACACAAGGCTTGCAATTAAGAAAGAAAACATGCCAGAGTGAGATTTCAGACTTTCCACGCTACAGGGCTTTCCAAGCGCATTACACATTAAGGAATTACTATAAAATCACTGCCGACACCCGACAACTGCAGATGAACTTGAATTTTAAAACTCTTTCTACACTGAAAGACAACCCCGGCCACAACATCAGTGCCTGGCAGACAGCCCTGCTGGTGTTTAGCTTCCATCCTCACACATATACAGCAAACTGAAAACATGCAAGCCTCACCTTCCGCCAGGCCAGCGACAACTTCCCGAGGGCAGAAAAACAGTGCAAGGTTCAAGCGGCGACGGGGATCTCTGCCATCACGTCTCAATTCGGCACCGACAGCTACGCAGGGAATACTCTACTCATTCCCAAACGCAGCCATTTAAATCCTAGGCAGCTGTTTAAATTTCTCGTTTATCCTCAAGTTGTTCCCAGCTCCAGAGCGCTAGCCAAATGGATGTGCCTACCACGGGTAACATCTGAGCTGACAGGTGAAAGCAACTACAGATGCTTAAATCCTCATCGCCGTGTCTCTGCCACTCGGAGGCACGACACGGATTTCCAGCACATTGCAGCATGGTAGGCAGAGCACCATCCCTCTCCCCATCACTCAAAAAGCCATTCTCCTGCTCTGACAACCTTCACACATCCTGTAAGGCAGACTGACGCTTGTCACTCATTTGTAATGAGAGCGGGGAGGGACGGGCTGGTGGTGTGAATCAGAGAGTAGAGAAGCATATGCGAGGCAATATATTTGACATGAAGAGAGAGAAGACACAAGGAGGGGGTGAGTCACTGTTTACTGTTCTAGAGGAGCTCCACGCAGCCCTCGCCCAGCTGGCCAGCTTTCCATTTCCCTTATGGATCGGAACCAGCATCCAGCAGCAAAGGGGAGATTCAGGAACCCTCAGAGCACATTTGAGAGCTGCCAGGACACAGCTCTCTGAGGCGCTCTCTGGGGAAGCCTGGACATGGATCAGACAGTCTTCACTGGTTTGGTAAACAACCTAGTCAGAAGCTGCAGAGAGCCTGTGGTTAGGGAGCAGGGATATGGAGCACCAGGCGGGTACATCTGTGTGTCACCTCTGAAACTTCATGGAGGAGGAGGCTGAAGGGGAAAGGTATGCGACAGCCAGCCCTGGTACTGACAAGCTTACAGCACTTTTTCCATCACGTGCTTGTAAAACGCGGTGACAGAGATATACTGGAATTACACCTCAGCATCACCAGCCCAGAGATGCAGCTCCCCAGCCGGACAAGCAACAAATAACTTTCTAGGATGCACAGCCAGACCCTGGGGTAGAATTGGGATTCCTAACTTTGCTGCTCCTGACCCTAAGTGCCAGCCATCAAGTCAGAGATCTTCACTAACTGTAATAATGGAACATAGCAGCATCACTATTTGGCGTCCTGCAATATTGCAAAGCAGTGGGATCCACTATGCAGCCTGTCCCTCAACTCAGGAGCACAGTGCCAGGGTAATTGCTCTCATTACTGCCTTCCCCCAGCCCTTGTGCTGATGGTCACAGAGCACTGCATTGCTTGTGCTTGCTTCATGCTCGGAAGACTCTCTGCCCAAGTTTGAAGATAGCCTCAAACAATAGCTGAGACAGAAGTGGAAATTGCCTGTTCATCTCTACAGGGTGCTGAGCCTGAAACTTCCTGATAATTGAAAGTGCTAGCACCGCTCAAGTATTTCACAGCTGGATGTTTACAAAAATGATCAGCAAGCAAGTTTATCCCACAAACCCCAACTGCCGCAGGGGCCAGCGCTCCCAGCTGTCCTTTCTTCGCTTCCCAAACATCTCACACAGCTAGAGATTTTCAATACCAAGTCCTGCAGCACATTCCATGCCATTAATCATCTTCCAATGCTGATGGAAATCAGGGGGTATCAAGCTGATCTGTATTTTTCCCTTTCAGAAGGCACACAGCAGTACTGAACTCCATGCCGCAACAGATTGCTGAGACGGGCGACGGCGCAGAAATGACATAAAACATGACAAACCACGCTGTCCTTGACAGGCAAGCAGGAAAAAAAAAAAAAAAAAGCCAACAAATTTCTACCTCTGGTTCAGAAACAGTTGTGAAGCAAGGCAAGAAGCTGGCATAATACAGCCAGGAACATTTAACAGGGCTCAAAGACGTGTCAAGCTCAGAGCCCGCAGAGGCGGGCAGGGTGTCCCGACGGCCAGAGCCACCGTGTGCCCAACCTTGCGGCAAGTGCCCGGTGGGTGCTCGCCGCCAGCCCCGGGTCCGGCAGCCCGGGCGGGCGGGAGCGGAGCGAGCCGCGGGGCCGCGCAGCCATTGGGCAGCCGCGGCGTCCATCAGCCCGAGGAAGTGACTGCACGAGGAAGGCTCGAGGAAGGGCTCTCCGCAGGCAGCACCGCGGACACACACGGAAGGAGAAGGGGGGGAAAAAGCGGAGGGACGCACGCTGCTTTCATCAGTGAGAAAAAACCAGCAGGTAAACTCACTCGCTGCTAAAACCCCGACGGCACCGGCGGCACGAGGCGCCGGGCTGGGGCGCAGGGCTGCGTCCGCCACGGGGCTCACAAAAAAATGAAAGTGCAAGAAAAAGGCGTGCAGCTTTTCAGGGAAACACTTTGCTCTCACTGGCTCCCTCCACCTTCCGCAGCCCCAGCTCAGCTTTAGGCACGCTGGCAAAGGAGGGGGCGGCCAGGTGAAAGCGAAAATGGAGGCCTTTCCCTTTTCTGTAACAACTTTGCCCAAAGGGGGCTCGTTCCTAATTTGAGACCTCATGGCCTGCTTTCAGCAGAATCTGTAAAATAAATCCTCCACGGAGAAACCCACGAGGGAGGGGAGCGGGCTCTCAGCCCGAGGAAGAGGAGGAAGGAAACAGACCCTGACACACTGTGAGAGTTTGGAGATATCAGTTCCCGTCGCTCTTAGCCTGGATGTTTCCCCCACCTTATGCCGCTGCCGTCACGGGGGGATTGAAGAGGTTCCCCCCACCCACCTCCTCACTAATGATTAAATCCCCAAACGGTCCCGCACCCACCAGACAGTCACGCGGCAGTGCCCGCTCCCGGAATGTCACCGTCCCCTTTCCTCCCACGGCCAGTCCCCGGGCGGCCGCAGAGCACCCCGTTTCCAGGGCGGCCCCCCATGCACACGCATCCCTCCCTCCCCACAGGCTGCGGGACCAGCCCGAACACACCACGCTCCTCTCCCTCTTTCCACCCAACCAGCAGCTGTGCTCAGCAGAGATAAGCCCCCCACCCGCCGCAGCGCTGACCCCCAGCCCATCCGACGGGCAGCGACGCGCCCGCCTGGCATTTCCCGGTGGCGGCGGCTGCTCCTGCCCGATAACCCGGGGCGGACAAGCGGATCACGAAGCCGCCACCACGCCCGGCCAGCGCCGCACGCCGCGGCCACGCCGCCCGGCCCGGGCTGCGCCCCGGCTCCCTCCGTACTACAAAAGCTGCTATTTTTAGTCGGCGGAGCGCGCGGCGTCACAACAGGTTTCCTCACATGTATTTTAAGAGCCATTCAAAGGCAGAGGCAGGCAGCGCGCTCATCCTCGGGGGGAAGAAAAATAACAACAAGAGACCGGGAAAGCATCACCCCGGCAGACACCCAGGGGACCCCCAGCCCCGTGTCCCCGAGGGTGCGGGGGCGCTGCCGGCCCCGTCCCACGGGGGTTCAGCGCTGCCGGCTCCGCACTGGTGCGAGGTGACAGGGCAGCTGTGACGGCGGGGCCGTCGCGCCCCTGCCCCGCGGGGCCGCTCGGCGGGGGCGGGCGGCGCGCCGCCGACCAACCAGCGCCCCCGCCGCTTCCGGCATGGCGCGTCACCGCGCGCGTCACCGCCCGGCCCGCCCCGCCCGCCGCGTCACCGCCGGGACCGCCCGCGCGGTTCATTCATGGGGAAGGGCGCGGGACGGGCGGGGCGCCGCTGCCGGCACGTAGTCGTCCCCCTTCATCTTCATCGCCGTCCCCATCCCCGTCCTTATTCTCATCCTGGTCCCCATCCCTCCTTCATCTCCATCTTCCTCACCCTGATCCTCATTCCTCTTTCATGCCCCCTTCATCCCCATCCTCATCCTCGTCTCTACACCACGCCCCGTGCCCCCGCCCCGCTGCGGGGCTCACCCGGCTCCGACAGCTCCCTACCACCCGGATCAGTCCGGATGGCGGGGCGCAGCGTGGCCCGCGGTTTTGCACGGTCACACACGGGTGCCTTTTACAGAGTCATAGAATGGTTGGTTAGGGAGGGACCTTGCTCTTCAATCCCCCTGCCATGGGCAGGGACACCTTCCACTAGACGAGGTTGTTCCAAACCCCATCTAAATTGGCCTTGAACACCTCCAGGGATATGGCATCCACAACTTTTCTGTGCAACCTGTGCCAGTGCCTCACCACCCTCACGGAAAAGAGTTCTTCCTGACATCTAATCTATACCTGCTCTTTGTCAGTTTAAAGCCATTACCCCTTGTCCTGTCACCACACGGCCCGGTCAAAAGTCCCTCTTTAGCTTTCTTGCAGGCTCCCTTCAGACAGGAAAAGCTGACAATAAGATCTCCCTGAAGCTTTGTCTCGTCCAGGCTGAGCAGTACCAATTCTCTCCTTTCCTCATGCGAGAGGTGTTCCATCCCTGTAATCAATTTGGTTGCCTCCTCTGGTCTCACTCCAACAGCTCCATGTCTTTCCTGTGCTGAGAACCCCAGAGTTGGACACAGCACTGCTGGTGGGGTCTCATAGAGCAGAGGGGTAGAATCACTTCCCTTGAGCTGCTTGCCCCTCAGCTTTTGGTGCAGCCCAGGACATGCAGGCTTTTCAGGCTTTCCAGGCTGAAAGTGCTTTGTTGTCTCATATCTAGCCTCACATCCACCAGCACCCCCAAATCCTTGGAAGGGCTACTCTTGATCCTTTCATCCCCCAGCCTGGGTTGATAGCAGGAGTTACCCTGACCCAAGTGCAGCACCAGCACTTGGCCTTGTTGCAGGGCAAATGATGGTGGGGAAATGTGTCCTGGGCACTCCATTGCTCTTGGGAGGACTCACTTGTTCCCTGGGCTCCTCGAGGTGGCCACTGACCAGCCTTGTCCTCCACTAGCTCTGGACCAGCCTGTGCCCAGCACTGCCTGTCCTGCAGCCCCCTGAGCGTGGCAGCAGGGCCAAATCCTGTGAGGGCTGGATCCTCAACCCAATCTTTGCACTTTCCTCGTGCAGTTTTGTGAGCTGCTAAACACAGCACCCTGCACCCAATGGTGAGCAGCATTTCAGACCCTGGGGGCATCCAACAACGACGATAATGCATCAAAAAATGCAGTAACACAGGCAATTGACTAAACCAAACTGCCTCCATCTCAGCTGGGCTTGTTTTGATTTCTTTACACCCATAACAAAGTTGGAAAGTCTGTGTCAGCCCCATGCAATTTGTGCTTTCCAGCCTTGGGGCCAAATACTGGAGCAGCTCTAAGGGCCATGAGTGAGGCTGTGAGTAAGATCCCATCTCTCCCTGCTCCCTTTGAACAACACAAGCTGCAAAACACAGGGAGCCTCATATCTGGCACAGCCCCATGGATCTGGGCAGCCAGAGCAAGGTTTAGTGAATGCACCTCCCTGATGTTAAGAAATCCCTATTTGTCATTGGAACTGAGCTAATGGGGTTGGCTAAAGCTCCCAGGTGGTGGGTGGCATGAAGCTGCTGTCCAGTGTAGCTGCAACAGCTTTGGCCTTCACCTCTCCCAGATTTGCAGATACTCACTGAAATCCTGCACTGGGTGCTGGGGCAGGGTGAGCTAAGGGCTAGGGGGCAGATTTCAGCCCTCACTGTGGTCTCCACTGATGCCTTGAGGTTTGTCTTCAGATCTCCTTTCCATTCAGGAAGGTTTTAGTGGCTCAGAGAGCCAAGACAAGCAAGGAGAGGGATGCTGGGTGTGGGAGCCTTTGGGGCCACTGATGTCCCCAACACAGCTACCTGCTCCTTGTGCTCTCTCTGAGTGGTGGTAACTAAGAGTGGTCAGAGCCATCCTAAATCATCCAAGATTTATCCCTGAGACATCCATGAGATGGTGATCCTCAAGGAGGACCACCAGCAGGAATGGGCTGGCTGCATCCTGAATGGGGGTTTCACCCTCTGTGATGACAGCCCTGCACATAGGGCTCACCAGAATTAAAGTATTGCCCCCAATTTTTGCAACAACATGGGGTTTGACAGATCACATATAGCAGGAGGGGAGCAGCTGTGTCACCTGAAATTCTGTTTCTGGATGAATTGTGCTATTCACAAGTTACTTTTTGTTTTCATTCCCTGAGGAAAGTACCTGTGCTCCAAAGGTCTGTTTTTATTCGCTGCTGAACTTTAGACAGTGGTGGCCTTCTGTAGTAAACAAGGAGCAGCTCTGCAGTCCCTTGAAAAGTGGGAAAGCCTGTGCAGCACACACACTTGTTAAGCAAATGAAGAGGAGTGCATGGGAGACAGGACGTCTGGTGAAAATTTGGATGGAGAAAGGTTCTGGGATGTTTGGGATTTTGTGAATCTGGCCCAAAGCACACCCAGCATCACGATTCCCTGAAGCCACTGAGCAGGGATAAAGTGCCACCCTATAAAGGGGCACAGAGGTTTAGTCACCTAAACAGAGGTGTTAATTCTTTGAGTTTTGACACCCTGCGTGCATCAACTGTGGAAAAACCTAAAAAAAACCCCGCTGCTCTCCCATACTCTCCACCCTTGAACAGCACCGAGCGTAGACACAAATATTAAAAATAAAATTTAAAAAAGCACCCAACGCGGAAGAGCGAGCGGAGGAGGGGCGTGCGGGGATGCGCTGCTACTAGAGAGGCGCGGTAGGAGCCGGCCGAGCGCCTCGTCGGGTGTTTACGGCGGGGCCGGCGGAGCCGCAGCGCCGGGAGCGCTGCCCGCTGCCCGCTGCCCGCAGCCACAATGTCAAGAGGAGACTCGTGTATGTAAGCGCCGGCACGGCCGGAGCGGGGCCCGCAGGCGGGCAGGGGCTCCCGGGGCGCGGCGCTGTGTCCCCCCGGCTGTGTGTCCCCCCGGCCCGCCCGCAGTGTCGCCGCTGCGAAGCGGCCGGGCAGTGCCCCCGGGAGTGCCGTGGCGGGCGCACGGCCCCGGGGCTCGCTGCCAGCCCGGGGCCGGCCGCGCGTGGGGAGGCGGCGGGCGGTGGCAGCGGGCGGAGGCGCTGCCGCTCCGGGAGGTGCGCGGCCAGGCCCCGGCGGGTTCAGACATCGGGGTGGCCCGAGCTGAGAGAGGGCTGGGGACTGAAGGTGTTGGTGGGGGATGGAACCGTTTTCTGAGCTTTTGCAGGGAGGAGGGTGAGGGGTGCGGGGTCTGAGTGAGAGTGAGGAGACGGAGACAAGAAAATTGTGTCTCTTTTTTTAAGACGCTGAGATTGCTGCCTGCAAACTTAACTAGAGCATGGGGGTCTCCTTTGCTTAGAGTCCGGGAGTTGTTTGCCTGAGAGGTTGTCAGAATCAGCATTTATCAGTGGAAAGCAAGGACTAATGGCATATTTCCAGCCATCCCTTGCTCAGCCGTCCTCGGGTCTAAAACCTCTGAGTCAGGGCTTTGGACAATGATGACAGAGGATGCTCGAAGAGGATGATCAGAGCAGAAGAATGCTCAGGGCAGAGAATGGTCCACACCTCGGAGCTGCAGCTCTCAGCATCACAGCTGTGTTCCCACAGGAAGAGCAAGCTCGGTTTTGCTTGCACCTTCCAGAAACACTGCAGCCCATTAATTCAGACCAGTGAAAAACTCCTTGAGGGGCCACTCTGCCACCTCCCAAAAGCAAATGGTGCTTTGTCCCTCGGGATTGGTGGACAGTCAGGTGTCAGTGTCTCCCCACACTTAGCAGGTCAGGACCACCTGACCCTGGCAAAGCCTTCCTTTGCTGAGTGCATCTTGGCTGAAGATGTGATGCTGCAGGGTGCTGAGGGAGCAGGCTCTGCCCAAACCACAGGCATCAGGAGAGGGGGAAGCTGTCCTTGAGGCCTGGGCAAGCTCTCCCCCTCTGTCTCTATCACACCTGCCACCGTCTCCCCTTCCATCCAGCACCAGGACAATGAAGTCGTACCAGAAGCTGACGACAGCACAGCCAGCAGCATGCCGGGTGGAAGAGGAGGGGGCTGCCCCGATGCCCCCCGGCCATGGGAAGCTGGCCCCATGGTGGGTGGGCAGCGGGCTGCTGGTGGCCGCTGTTCTGCTGAGCACCATCACTGTCTGGGTGCTGCGGCAAGTGTCGGGGGGCTGGCTCGGACCCACAGCACCCCCAAAATGTCTCGTGGTACCCGAGAGCCATCGCTTTGACTGCTACCCAGAGCGGCGCGTGGTGGTGACCCAGGAGCTCTGTGAAAGCCGAGGGTGCTGCTTCATCCAGAGTCCCCCGCTGGCAGAGGGCAAGCAGGGGGTGCCCTGGTGCTTCTACCCCCCTGACTTCCCCAGCTACACCCTGGAGAGCCTCAACCAGACAGCGCTGGGCATGGTGGGGCTGCTGCTGCGGAGGGAGAAGGCCTATTACCCCCGGGACATAGAGAAGCTGAGGCTGGATGTGGAGTTTGAGACGGACACGCGGCTGCACATCAAGGTGAGCTTCCTGCTGGCTGCCCTCAAGTGCCTGTGGCTGTGCTCCTGACCCTTGCACCTGCCATCCTGTAGGATCCCTTGCTTGGATCAAGTCTGGGATCTGCTGTGCTGGTTGTGTGGTGCCATCTCCAGCACTTTACCCTCTTGCTTTGCTGGTCTTTAAAGCCCTTTTTCTCCCTTTTGCAGATAACAGATGCAGCCAACCCACGCTATGAGGTTCCCCTCGATGTTCCCCGGGTGATGAAGAGAGCAGAAAACCCCATCTACAGCTTGAACTTCTCCTGGGACCCCTTTGGGGTGCTGCTGCAGCGCAAGGCAACAGGGACAGTGCTGTAAGGACTCACCTCATGCTCACACTGTCTCAGGTGCAGAGAAGTTTTTCCCACCCTGGCAGGCTCCAGCATACTTCTCAGAGGTTTTCCATTAGGAAAACCCTTGCTGTGAGGTCTCCAGCCAATTATTGCCCTTTCTCTTGTATCTTTTGAGCAGTGCTGACATGGGGATGTGGCAGCAGGTGGCTTCCTTGCCCCAGGGGCTGCCACATGCTTGCTCTGGCATGGCAGACCTGTGTGGGATCAGCATCCCAAAGACTTCCCAGTGCTCTGATTCCTCTCAGGGTCCTACAGAAGCCAAACATTGTGTAGATCCCAGCACATCACCAATAAATGATCTGGTGGCTCAGGAAAAATGTCAGAGAACAGTTGTGGCTTTGCCCTCTCCCTGCTTTTGGGTTTTCCTGGCTGTCCAAGGCACACCTACAGCTCCAGGCTTTTTGTGGAAAAGGACTGTGGGTGACTTTGCTGTACAGCTTCTGTCACCTCCACGGCTTTGCCCACACTAAGTTGGTGGCAAGCACCAGCAGCTGGACAATGTCTGGTCAGGGTGTTTTGGGATCCCATCCTTTCCTCCTATTTTCCATTTGCTGGTGGCTGTGGTCCATTCTGTACTTGGGAGCTGCTTATCAGTGACAGCAGGCTGAGAAACCCCAAGGCCATATCACCTCAGTGGTTAATAATAACCTGGGTGGAAACTTCTGGTGTCAAAGAGAAGGCTGTGCTATGCCGGGTCAGGCTGGCTTGTGCTGTGCCTTGTGTCCAGCCAGACCTGAATTTGCTCCTGGGCCAGGGTGTTGGGCTGCATGCAAGGTGGGATGTGCTGCTAGACTTCCCCTAGATGATTTGAGAGGGAAGAGATCAGTTATTCAAGGGCAAATGCATCCTAATGAGTCCCTAAACCTTCTCTTGACCCTCTCTCTTTCTTGGTGTCACCCTGGCAGGCTAAATACCACCGTGGCCCCCTTGATCTTTGCTGACCAGTTTCTCCAGATCTCTACATCACTCCCATCCAAGTTCCTCTATGGGCTGGGGGAGCACCGTGGCAGCCTCCTGCACAGCCTGGACTGGAACACCCTCACACTGTGGGCTCGCGACGTCTCTCCCACGGTACCTCTGCCCTCTCCCCGTCGGGGTGCAGGGGCTGAGGGCAGGAGTGCCCCTCTCCTGTGCCTTGGAAAAACCCTGGGAAAGCATGGCAGGGGTGGGCAGCAGCACTGGGAGAGGCTGGGGATGGTTGAGGCTGATGAGCAGGTATGTGCCAGGGAGGATTTCAGAGCAATTGCAAAATGCTCTTGGCACTCCAAGGGCTCTGGGTGTTTCCGCTCCACCCTGCTCCTGGTGCAATGTGTTGTGGTGAGGCAGGAGGTTTCCCCCTCACCCAGCCCAACTCAGTAGCAGCCCCTGAGCTGGAGGAAGAAGCAGCCTCCCATGGCCTTAAGCTCCAAACCTATCCTCGTTCCTTGCCTTGTGCTCCAGAGGAGTGACAGATGCCTGGTTAGGTGGTGGCAGCAAATACAGCTCAGGATCATTTATTCACCTTCAGTGACATGGGGCTCTCCTGCTTTGCCCTCTTTTCTGTTTTACTGGGAACCTCTCCTTGCAGGAATCATTCAACCTGTACGGTGCTCACCCCTTCTACCTGCTGATGGAGGAGGGTGGAAATGCTCATGGTGTTTTCCTACTCAACAGCAATGCCATGGGTAAGTGTCCAGGGGACCCCAGGCCAGCTTGACCATTGTGGAGGACCTGGCAGATTGGGACAGATGGGAGCTGCTGGAGTGGCCACTTTGGGACCTTGGGGTGAGAGGAAACCATAAAAAGGAAAGATGTGGTTTGATGGCTCCGTTATTGAGCGCAGCCATCTGTTTCCTGGCTACGGCGAGGCTCTTTAGCAACTGCCGAGCAGTTTAACCACACGCCCAGCTGCCGAGCTGCCATCAGGAAAGCGAGTCCCCTGCATGCAGCTCCATGCCCATTCCCCTGCTCTGGCAGCAGTGGGGTGCAGCCAGGGGTGCCATCTGTCACCTGCGCTCTTCCCAGCTGTGCTGCGCCAGCTGCGGCCGTGGGGTCTGCCCGTGTGTGCCAGCTGATAGCACAGCAGCTCCTGCCGTGCCAGGGGCAGCACCAGGACCACCCGTCCCTCCCTGCAGCTGCCTCTTGCAGCTGGAATGATGCTGCTCGCACCGGGGCTCCAGCTGTGCTCAGCTCTGTTGCTGTGATGCTGCCGAGGAGGAGCTCCTTTGAGATGCAGCCACCTGAGATGAGGTGAAAAGGCTGCTCCATGTGAAGAGCCCTTCCCAGGAAAGGCCTGGCTCCCACGTGCTTGCTTGTACAAGTGGCTCTCGATTCACTTAGGAGGGGATTTCAGGGGAGGACATGAAGGAAAGCACTGCACTGAAGTGCTTAGTCTTGGTCCAGCAGTGGAAGCTGGCACAGATTTGAGATTAAAGAGCAGATTTTCAAGATAGCATAAACCCATGATCTCTCTGGGCTGTGATGATTTAAGCTTCCAGACACCCATTTAGCATCTGCTGAGTGCAAGACAGGGATTTCTCTATTCCCCTGAGCATTGCCTGTGGTGCTGCCTGGGCCCCATCATAGGGGCTGAGGTCTGGGGACTGCTCACCAGTTGTCACGACCTTTTTCTCTTCTCTTCTCTTCTCTTCCTTCCCTTTCTACCTTCCCACTGAAAGAGGTGGCTCTGCAGCCTGCTCCAGGCCTGACCTGGAGGACCATTGGAGGGGTACTGGATTTTTACATCTTCCTGGGGCCCGATCCCAACATGGTCATCCAGCAGTACCAGCAGGTGATAGGTAAGTGCCCACATCCCAACACAGCTCTCTGCGAGCACCTCCTTCATGCCCACATCCGTGTCTCACCCCAGCTTCACCACCATCCCCGGCCCTCTCAGCTGGGGAGGGATCAGCATCCCCCAGCTGTCCCATCCCCAGCCCTTCCAGCACACTGCACTCAGTGATCCCCTTTTATCCTCCCTCTGCCCTTACCTTCCCATCCTTTTGAGATGCTGCTCTCATCTTGGGAAACCCCATCCATGCTCCCACTGTCCCACTGCAGGTTTCCCAGCCATGCCACCCATCTGGGCTCTCGGCTTCCACCTCTGCCGCTGGGGCTACGGATCCAGCAATGACACCTGGCAGACCGTGAGAGCCATGAGGAACTACCAGATCCCCCAGGTAACCCCCAGGCCTGTGGGGCAGGGAGTCCAGTCTCCATCACCCATTCCTGAGCCTCTTTCCTGCAGGATGGGCAGTGGAATGACATCGATTACATGGATGGGTACCGAGACTTCACCTTGGATTCCCAGAAGTTTGCCTCCCTCCCCTCCCTGGTGGAAGACCTCCACAAACACGGGCAGCGCTACGTTATGATCTTGGTATTCCCCCTCCTCTCCCACTGTGCTGTTTTTGCTGCAGGGATGTCAGACAAGGGCATAATGGATGCTCCTGGTCCCAGCTGGTCATTCCTGGCTCTGGGGATTTTTGTAGGAGGCCAGTTCCCAGTGCTGGTCAGGCAGCTGGAAACTGTGACTGGAAATCCCCCTAATGCAGAGACCTTGGAGACACAGCCAGGTTCCTGTGCTGTGCTCCTGTCTTTCTGTGGGTACAAGGATGGCCCTGACCCCTGTGAGAGAAGGAATAGAGGAACTGTGGGTCAGGCAGTGTAACTTGTGGATGCTCAGCTCAAGTGTTCTCACATCCCTGCAAGTGCTGGGATCTTGTGACGTGTCCCTTCTTCCCTCTGCAAGGAGTGGGGGCATGGATTCTGCTTGCTGCAGGCAGTGGGGACCAGCAGGTCCTTGCAGGAGGAAGTTGGATTTCCTCCTCATTGAACTCTCTGTAGTAGCCCTGTCCGTGACCTGACATTTCTTGCATAAGAACAAGATTTCTTGTATTTGTCCCCTCCTCCCCAAAACACCGTAATGGGTCCTGGGGACTTGCAGAAGTGGCATTTTAGAAAACATGCCTGGAGGCGTTGATGCAAGTTTCTCTTCCCCTTGAGGGGAAACAACTGCTGTGTGTGGGCTTTGGCTGACCCTGTCTGGGTTCTCTTCTGTGAATCACAATGGTCTGGCCAGGAGAAGGAGCCGTGGTCTGCCTGGAGTGGCACTAACCCTCTGCTCCATCCCCAGGATCCTGGCATCAGCAGCACCAGCCCCCACGGCTCCTACTGGCCTTTTGATGAAGGCTTGAGACGGGGCTTGTTCCTCAACACCACCCAAGGGCAGCCACTCATCGGGCAGGTGAGGAGCTCCAGGGAGAAATCCCAGCCCAGTGGGTTGTGCAACACCAGGGCTGGGATTTCATCACAACAGAGGGAAAGCCAAGTGGCCAAGGGACTTCTCTGGGATAATTGCCAGAGCCTGGCTCAGCCCTTGTCCTCATGTGTCACCTCCTGGTGTCTTCACCAGCCTGGGGACCAGCCCCTGCTCAGCAGAGGAGCCTGTGGAAGTCATATGAGCTTAACAGAGTCAGCAGTGCTGCCTAAGGCTGATCATCTGATTTCTCTCCCTTCCTGTTTCTGGGGTGAGGGGAGGTTGTTGTGAGGAGCAGTGTGCCTCGAGACCTGCTTGCAGCTGTTCCCTCCCACTTTGACCCCTCTGCCTGTTTTCTCCCACCTGCTCTCTCTCGCTGTCTCCAAGGAGGGAGCTTTTGATGTAGCCTGAAAACATGGGAGAGAATGAATTGCCTAAAATTCCTGGAATGTGGCAAAGCACAGAGAATTCATAGCTTTTCCCTGAGATGTTCTTAGTGAGGTGGTATCAGGCCTTGTGCAAGTGGGGACAGAGCAGCTCCATCAGCTGCCACTGCCACAGACTGTGGGGACTACTCATGGTACCTGGTTCCTCCTGGTACCATGGAGTAGAAGGGATGCTGTGTGTGTAGCACCCAGGACTTGAAGCATTGGCTGGGTTTATCTTCTGTCTCATTGCCTCTTTCACCCCCAGCTGAAATCCCTGGCGTGCTGTGGTACCCTGTTCCCCATGGTGGCTCCCCACAATCAGCTGCTCGCTGAAGCCATGGATTTGTGGTGTGCCCACAGGTCTGGCCTGGTTTCACTGCCTTTGCAGACTTCTCCAACCCAGATACACACCAGTGGTGGCTGGAGAACCTGCAGCACTTCTATGCCCACGTGCCCTTTGATGGCCTCTGGATCGTAAGTCCCTCCTTGCCCGTGGGTTGCTCCCTGCCAGCAGCTCAGCTCATGCCCGGTGTGTGTCCTGGCAGGACTGTCCCTCAAATTTTCCAGGTCTACCACTAATCCCAAAAACATACACCCGAAATTGCAGCACAATTTTTTTTGCTTAGGACATGAATGAGCCATCCAACTTCATGGATGGGTCTGAAGATGGCTGCCCCCCAGGAGAGCTGGACAACCCACCCTACACTCCAGGTAAGGAGGGAGATGAGATACAAGGCTGTGCTCATAGGTATTGTGTGCTTTGAGATGGCTGCCAACTGAGTGTGGTGAAGGAAAACCATTTCTAAGAGACATTGTGTCTCTTTTACACCCTGAATGCCTCCATCGCTTCCTTCATGTGCCAGTATCCATGTCTAAGCCATGCACACTTGTTAGGGCCACGTCAGGGTGCAGGATGGGGCCATTTTCATGAGCTTTTGGCACTGGGTTGGCAGTGCCAGCTGGCTGTGGGAGGGCTGACCCAGAGCCAGCAAGTGTGGGGAGTCCATATCCCCTGCACCCCAGGTGAGTCCAACTGGGCTGTCCCTCCTGGCAGCCGTGCTGGGCGATTCCCTCTCTGCTAAGACGGTGTGTGCCTCGGCAAAGCAGAAAGTCTCAGTGCACTACAACCTCCACAACCTCTATGGGCTGATGGAAGCCAAAGCCACAGCAAGGTACCTGAGCATCCCACTTCCTGACAGCCTGGGAATGGGCTGGGACAAAATCCTTCTCAGAGCTGAGTAGGAAAAGGATGGGGGTTTGAGTGGGATCTGAAGCGGAAAAGCTCTGGCTGCTCACAGCCTCTGGGATGGGAATAATCCAGGAGAAAAGGGGAGCTGACACTGCTCTGGGAGGAATGGGTGAATGAGGCTGGTCCTGCTGGGAGCCTTTGCCATACTGCTTGGACTGACTCTTGCCCCTCTGCCAGGGGGCTGGAATTTTCCCTCAGTTTTTGTGGGATAAGGCAAACACCCGGTGGGCTGCTCTTACCTTCTGCCCCCAGCTCTCCTGTTGTTTTCCAGCGCCTTGATCAAGATCCGGGGGAAGCGCCCCTTCCTCATCTCCCGCTCCACCTTCCCCAGCCAGGGCCGGTACTCAGGGCACTGGCTGGGTGACAACCAGAGCCAGTGGAAGGACATGTGTTACTCGATTCCAGGTGGGTGGCACGGAGCCCCTACCAGCACTCCTGGAGCTTTCTTCTTGTTTGGAGATGTCCCCGAAACTGTGCCCTGTTGACTGTCCCCGCCCTCAGGGCTGCTGAGCTTCAGCCTCTTTGGCATCCCGCTGGTCGGGGCAGACATCTGCGGCTTCTCCGGCAGCACCTCGGAGGAGCTGTGCACCCGCTGGATGCAGCTCGGTGCCTTCTACCCCTTCGCTCGCAACCACAACACCCAGAACGAGAAGGTCGAGGGCAGTGTGCCCAGTGGGCGGCATCCTAGGGCTGGGGTGCAGGATATGGGATGGGGATGCAGGATATGGGATGTGGAGTGGGGGATGCAGGAGGTGGGATGTGGGAGCGGGGATGCAGGATATGGGATGTGGGATGGGGGATGCAGGAGATGGGATGTGGGAGGGGGGATGCAGGATATGGGGTGTGGGATGGGGGATGCAGGAGATGGGATGTGGGAGGGGGGATGCAGGATATGGGGTGTGGAATGGGGGATGCAGGAATTGGGGTTGGGGGTCGGGGTGGGACAGCTGCTGACTGCCCGTGTCTCCCCCAGCCCCAGGACCCAGCAGCGTTCAGCCCCGCAGCCAGGACAGCCATGAAGGACGTGCTGCTGACCCGCTATTCCCTCCTGCCCTTCCTCTACACTCTTTTCCACCGTGCCCACCTGCAAGGGGACACCGTGGCCCGGCCCTTGTTCTTTGAGTAAGGCCATCCCCACCGGGAGCTGGGGAGATGCTTGGGTTGAATCAGGGAGATCGAGTGGCGTCTCCATCCCGCTGCAGGTTCCCTTGGGATGTGGCCACCTGGGAGCTGGACAGGCAGTTCCTGTGGGGCCAGAGCCTGCTGGTAACCCCAGTGCTGGAGCCTGGGGTGGACTCAGTCACAGGTTACGTCCCCCAAGGCACGTGGTACGACTTCTACACGGTGAGGAGCATCATGGCATTTGGCCAGGGTGATCCCTGCTTGACCCTCTTGGGGCTGTGGGTGGGAAGCCCTGGCTGAGCCCAGGGAGCCCTAATGGAGGGGGGTTGGGAATGGCTGCCCTGCAGACCTGTGCCTGAGCCCTGATCCCTCAGACTCATGTCTCTCACCGCCTGCCCAGGGCAACTCGGTGAACAGCAGTGGGGAGATGTTGAAGATGTCAGCCCCTCTGGAGCACCTCAACCTGCACATCCGGGAAGGTTCCATCCTGCCCACCCAGGTGAGTGCCCACCCCTCAGCTCCCTGGGTGCTGTCCACAGCGTGTGTGTCCCCCAGCACCTCAGCTCCTGGACCCAGTGGTCATGGCCCTACAGAGCCCATTTCTTTGAACCCCAGAAACCAGGAACCACCACAGAGGCAACCCGAGGGAATCCCCTGCGTCTCATCGTGGCCTTGTCCTCGCATGCCACTGCCTGGGGTGACCTTTTCTGGGATGATGGCGAGAGCCTGGACACCTTTGAGAAGGGCAACTACTCCTATGTGGTGTTCAATGTCACACAGGTGGGATGTGGTGGGGAGGGCAGGAGTGGGGGGTCCCATGGTAGCTGGTCACCTTGAGGTCATGCTGTCCCCTCCTACAGAACATCTTCACCTCCACCGTCCTCCATGCCAGCACTGAGGCCACCAAGGTCACCATTGGCACACTGAGCATCTTTGGGGTGCAGAAGCCGCCCAGCAAGGTCCTCCTGAATGGCCAGGAGAAGCCCTTTTCCTACCTGGACAACCAGGTATGGCCCCATTTCGGGGTGCACTTTGCTGGGTGGGGGTCCTCATCCTGAGGGTCTCCACCCCTCCTCCTCCAGGGTCACAGTGTGACCAAAGAGAGGGTGAGGACTCTGTGTGGCTCTCCTGCCATGCCAGGGTTTAGGGGAAAGCATTCTCCACTTCCCTCCTGTCAAGTCTGTACCCCACAATGTCTTGTCTCCCCCCACAGGTTCTCAACGTGAGTGACCTTGGCATGATCCTCAGCCAGGGCTTCTCCCTGCAGTGGCTGTGAGCAGGGGGCCGTGGGGTCACCTCACCCCACCAGGACACTCTGCTGGGAGATGGTCCATGCTCCAGCCCCTGAAGCCGGGATGCTGCCACGGAGAGAGCATTGGGGACTGTCACCTGCTGCTGCTCGTCCCCCTCCAGCACAGCTGGGGACAGGGGGCGTGGGACGGGGGCTTGGCTGCTGGGTGCCCCTGCGTGGTCCTGGGTGGTGGGTGGTGTGGGTGGAGGTGTGGGTCCCTGCGGTCCCCACTGCAATAAAGGCATGTGGAGAACGTGTCCTGGGAGCGTGATATGGGGACAGAAGGAGTGGCATGGGGGAGAGGGGGTGGGCAGCCAGTTGCTGTGGGGCCCCTCATTTTAGTCCTCGACCTCGGTTCTCCTGGCTCCATCACCCTGATTTCAGCTGCTCAGTTTTAGCCCCAATCCAACACCCCCAATTCCAGCCTCACATTCCACCCCTGCAACTTCAGCCACTATTTTCAGCTCCCCAATTTCAGCCGACTCCAGCTTCCAATCCCACCTCCTTGATTCCCCTCTGATCCCTGATCCCCCAATCACAGAATCATTTAAGCTGGAAAAGACCTCCAAAATCAAGTCCAGCCGTGGACTAATCACTTTTTCATACACCATGAGGCTGAGTGCTGCATCCAGTCATGTCTTGAACACCTCCAGAGACTCGATCACTACCCTGGGCAGCCCATTCCAATTTGTAATCCCCCTTTCCGTGAAGAAATTCCTCCCCCCCCCACAGGTTCTCAACGTGAGTGACCTTGGCATGATCCTCAGCCAGGGCTTCTCCCTGCAGTGGCTGTGAGCAGGGGGCCGTGGGGTCACCTCACCCCACCAGGACACTCTGCTGGGAGATGGTCCATGCTCCAGCCCCTGAAGCCGGGATGCTGCCACGGAGAGAGCATTGGGGACTGTCACCTGCTGCTGCTCGTCCCCCTCCAGCACAGCTGGGGACAGGGGGCGTGGGACGGGGGCTTGGCTGCTGGGTGCCCCTGCGTGGTCCTGGGTGGTGGGTGGTGTGGGTGGAGGTGTGGGTCCCTGCGGTCCCCACTGCAATAAAGGCATGTGGAGAACGTGTCCTGGGAGCGTGATATGGGGACAGAAGGAGTGGCATGGGGGAGAGGGGGTGGGCAGCCAGTTGCTGTGGGGCCCCTCATTTTAGTCCTCGACCTCGGTTCTCCTGGCTCCATCACCCTGATTTCAGCTGCTCAGTTTTAGCCCCAATCCAACACCCCCAATTCCAGCCTCACATTCCACCCCTGCAACTTCAGCCACTATTTTCAGCTCCCCAATTTCAGCCGACTCCAGCTTCCAATCCCACCTCCTTGATTCCCCTCTGATCCCTGATCCCCCAATCACAGAATCATTTAAGCTGGAAAAGACCTCCAAAATCAAGTCCAGTCGTGGACTAATCACTTTTTCATACACCATGGGGCTGAGTGCTGCATCCAGTCATGTCTTGAACACCTCCAGAGACTCGATCACTACCCTGGGCAGCCCATTCCAATTTGTAATCCCCCTTTCCGTGAAGAAATTCCTCCTGATGTCAGACTTAACACCCCCTGGTGCTGCCTGAGACTATGTCCTCTTGTCCTGCTGCTAGTGGCGTGGGAGAAGAGACGGATCAAGCACCAAAGAGCATCTTTTTAAAGAAGATGTTCACATATTCTGCATCTTGCAGCCTCGCTGACCGCGGGCTCCCCCCGATCTCCCGGCGGTGCAGTTCCCCTCCCGCCCGCCAGACGGCGCTGCCCAGCGGGGCGGGCCGGGCCGGGCGGTGCGCTGCGGCGGCGGTTCCGGTTCCGTGTGGCCGCGGCCGTCGGTCGGTCCGGCCGTCGGTGCCCGGTGTTTGTCCGTCCGTCCCGGCCGTCGCTCGGTCCGTCCCTGGGCCGGTACTCGGCGGCGCCATGAACCGGCCGAAGGCGGCGGCCGTGCGGCGGCCCAGCGCCGTGCCCAAGCCCTCCGGTGAGTCCCGCGGGGCCGGCCGGGCGGGCGGGGGGCAAACGGCGCTGTCGCTCGCTGTCGCTCGCTGTCGCTGTCGCTCACTGTGGCCGTGTCTCCCCTCGCAGCGCACCCGCCGCCCGGAGACTTCATCGCGCTGGGCTCCAAGGGGCAGAGCGGCGAGGGCAAGGCCGCCGTCACGCTGCTGAAGCCGGCGCCGCCCGGGCTGCCCTCGGAGCGCAAGCGGGACGCGGCCGCCGCCTTGGCGGGCCCGGCGGGGCTGCCCGGGCTGAGCAAGCGGCCCAAGCTCTCCTCCACGCCGCCGCTCAGCGCCCTGGGACGCCTGGCAGAGGCGGCCGTGGCGGAGAAAAGAGCCATCTCGCCCTCCATCAAGGAGCCGTCTGTCATCCCCATCGAAGGTGAGGCCTCGCTGCGCTCCTGCCGTCGCACGGAAGCCTCGGGGAAACTTCTCCTTGCTCTGGAGTCTCATCCCAGGAGCCTTTCTTGAAGCCCACACTGCAATTATGTGCTCTCCTCGAGGGTTTCCTTGCCTGGATATGGGGCTGAAGTCAAGGTTTTCTCTTCTGTTGGCATTGGGTTGTGTTCATTCTGTCTGACAGCTGTTTAGTAGCTGTATGTGAAATACTCCTTTGAGGAAATCTCAAAGTCTGGATTGTGGTATTTCATTCACATATTTCTTTAGCAAACTCTTGGTCTGGATGTTGCCTTTTGAATTGTCATTCTGTTTCTGATGTTGGATACATTTGCACAGGAGTGTGCTAGCATGGAAAAACAATGAAGGGGCATTTTCAGTTGTGAAACAGAACTTTAAATGGCAATTGAGTAGGGGAAAGCTACTGCAGGGGCTAAAAGTGAGCTGGTCTGTGCTTTGCTGTTCTTTGTGACCGGTCCTGCAGCATCTGAGGGTGGTTATTTGGCATGAGGGTAAATGCTGATGCCTGTGTGTTGGTGGTTGCAGTCGTCCCCACAGTGCTGCTGGATGAGATTGAGGCAGCAGAGGCAGAAGGCAACGATGACCGTATCGAGGGGGTGCTGTGTGGAGCTGTGAAGCAGCTGAAGATGAACAGAGCCAAACCTGACACCACTCTCTACCTGAGCCTCATGTACCTGGCAAAAATCAAACCCAACATATTTGCCACTGAAGGGGTTATTGAGGTGAGGACTCGTGAAGTCACTGACAAATCACTCCTGCCAAACTGTGGGCAGAGTTGCACTTTCTCTAGGCCAGAGTGTGGTTTGCATGGCTTTGTAAATACCAGAGCTCTGTGGCAAGCTGCTGCAATTTGTATTTCTCTTTCTGCAGCTTCTCTGCATGCTTTCTCGATGGATGATTTGTTTATTATTTTATTTTTTGCGGATGTTATTCCAGGCACTGTGCAGCCTACTCCGAAGAGATGCCTCCATCAATTTCAAAGCCAAAGGGAATAGTCTTGTGTCTGTCTTGGCATGCAACCTTCTCATGGCAGCTTACGAAGAGGATGAGAACTGGCCAGAGATCTTTGTCAAGGTTGGTGAACTGAGGGGGCTTCTGCTGCACTGAGGCATCGGTGGTGGGCAGACTGGGCTGGGAAATGTGCATGTGTTGGAGCAGGAGAGCAGCACGGGATTTATTACAGATGTAGGGAAGGGGATGGCTAGTGTCCTCTTGTCCACTGTGGGAATGCTACTGAAGGAGGCAGAAATTGGAGTCTGGGCCCATCCTTTTAAAGAATCTCCTTGGGTTTCTGGAATGTAGCCTCCATTGCCTTTTGTTGCCTTAACTCTGCTCTTCTGAGATGTCTTTGAGAGTCTGTCCTTGCTTTCTCTTCAGTGTTTAGGGATTAAAACAGCCCATTAACTTAAAAAGGCAGAATTGACCAGCTTCTGTATTTCGATGGCAGAAGTTGTTGTAAAGTCTTTCTTGAGAAGGTGCCCAGTAGAGCTTGGGGTGTGGTGGTGTATATTTTTGCTTTTGTATGATCATCTGGTCTGGTTTTCATCCATGCATTGGTTATGCTAGTTCCTACTCTGTATATTGGAAATTCATAAAAACTCACAAATACTCCTTAATTAACCCCATGGAAATGGACTGTGCTCCCTGCTGCAGGTGTACATCGAGGACTCCCTTGGGGAGCGCATCTGGGTGGACAGCCCTCACTGCAAGACATTTGTGGATAACATCCAGACAGCTTTTAATACAAAGATGCCTCCTAAGACCATGCTCTTGCATGGAGAAGTTGGACGTAGTGGAGGGGACCTTAGTGCTGGTAAGAAGATGTTTGGGAACCAGGAGCAAAGGTTTAGGGAGAGGATGGAGCCTGCAGTGCTTATTGACTTGTGAGAATAGTTTGGTATTAGATGGAGTCATGTAGACCAGGCTTTGAGTTCTAGGCATTGCTTTTCTTCTTTTTGGGGCTCTTTCGTGTCCAGGGGATGTTTGAGGGGAGTGAAGAATGGGCCTGTATGGGATGCAGTGTGACAGGCTATGATCTTTCTGAAAGGGATCCCTGAAAGAAGCTGAACAAACCAGAGCACAAGTGATTATCTCTAGAGAGAGGAGTTGTCCTATGAAGTGTGCTGTGTCCAGTGATTGATCTCTAGGGAGAGGAGCTGTCTGATGGAGTGTGCTGTGTCCTGGTCTCTCTTAGGGAGTAGCCCACACCCTTCCATGACAGAGGAGGAGGACAGCCAGAGTGAGCTGCTGATTGCAGAGGAGAAAATGAGCCCAGAGCAGGCAGGCCAGCTCATGCCCAGGTACAGTGCCTCTTCCTCTCCTAACACAGTTGTGTGCAGGTGTGTCTGTAGATGTGTCTGTGCTCACCCACCCTGCAGAGCTGTGGCAGGAGCTCTGTGCTCCTGTGGCATCTGCTGGGGGATGTTGATAAAGATAAAACTGGTTCCAGGAGAAAAGAGGGGATTTTCTTGGTTTGCAAGTCATACCACAAACAAGAAAGAGTGCTGATCTCTGGACTGGTTTTTGTGGAAATGGGTAAAGTTCAGTTTGTGTGCAGGTATGAAGACCTTGCAGAGAGTGTGGAGGAATATGTGCTGGACATGCTTCGGGACCAGCTGAACCGGCGGCAGCCCATGGACAATGTCTCCAGGAACCTCCTGCGGCTGCTGACAGCAACCTGTGGCTACAAAGAGGTGCGTCAGATGGCTGTGCAGAGGCTGGAGATGTGGCTGCAGAATCCAAAGGTAAGGAGAGGAGCTGCTGAAGCACAGCCCTGGTCTGGAATCCAGCCAGGAGGGCTGCATGCTGTATTCCAGTTACGTTTCTGGTCTGTGATGGCAAGTGGCTGGAGTCTTTCTGCTCTTTTTTCTGC